TATGTCAAATGGCTAAACAACAAATCAAAACAAAAACTAAAACTGAAAAAAGCAAAACAAAACTAACCAGAACACAGGATCTCCAATTTACGCTTCATCTTGTTCTTACTTCACCCACAATTCTACTTTCTGTGTGCCCTTTTGAGCATTGCAGTTAATAATATGACCTCTTCTTAAGTGGAAATTACAAGATATTTCCCAGACTACTAGGCTTTAGGGTCTGAAGCCAGGATTTTTCCCTGAGAAACCCCAAGCTTCCAGAATTCTAATCTTGTAGCCCAGGCTTCATTCCAGTGACAGCTGTCCTGCCTGACACTTTTACACGAGACCACCAGCACGTGTTTATGTTCTGCACTGAAAGGCAGCCATGTAGATAGGCCTCGGTGGCAGGGCTGGCTCTGCACAGACCAAGAAGAATAAATGCCTGTAGGACATATAACAGATGACACCCAGGTGACCTGGTTCTGATCCTGGCCTCTGCTTCCACATGGGCCTTCTGGGAGAAGCAACGGCACCTTAGAGGTTGAGGTATCATTTCTACAGAGCAATGCCCTTCTAAATAGCAACAACTTGGGGCTTGCAGAGCTAATAAAGGACCCTGTACCTTCTTGGTGTGGTGGAGTCATAGCCTATGAGTTGACAGAACTATATTTAGCTAGATGCTGCTGTCATCCTCTGGTGATCTGGTGTTTGTCACCATGTATGCCCCCAGTAGCAAATCAATGGGCACCACACTGCCCACCCTTAGCTATCTATGTAGCTGGTGAGATTTGGCTCCCAGGACAGTGACTCTGCCCCCGTCTACCCCTCTCCCAGGATTACAGCAGTAACAATAGGTCTAGATTTGTTCATTTGGGCTTGTCAAACAGACCTCTATGTTTAAAGAACTTTTCTTATTAACAAATGATGTCTTGGACAGACTGGCCAGATGCAGCCCTGTTATCAGTTTGAATATATGGTTTCCTTTTTAACATATGTAACTGTGGGCTTTTCTACCCATACCCCAGTTCCTGAAATACTCTGAGATGTAATTATATATGAGTAAATGTCTAGGCTGCAAGCGTGGGCTTGTTCCCCAACTAGCTCATAACTTAATTAACCCACTTATTTTACTCTATGAGTGCTGAATGCCTGCTTACCTCTTCTCAGTTTTGTGCGTCTGTCTGCTCAGAGTTCAGGGTGAATCTCAGGGTCCTCTCTCTCTACTGGAATCCCCATCTATCTCCTGCCTCAGCTTATTAGCCAATCATCTTTTTATTGACCACTGATGCTTCCATACAGTACACAAGAGACTCTTCCTACAAATGCACACTTTAAAAGTGTAATTCAATGACATATGATTTTATACTCTGATTTTTTATTTTCAGCAACATGAAATATCTTTGCAAATTATTAATGAATCCCCAAATTTAACAGATACGCTTTGGTGTGGTTATCACCAAGCCAATGGCTGTAACAACCTCACTGAGCTCATTTAATAGCCAGGTTCCTAAGGCAGCTCCCAGAGCTACTGATCTGAGCTTCGGAAAGTCTGTCTGGACTGCATTCATCAGCTAATCCTTGGAAGAAACAGCTTTATTTCCAGACTGTCTAATATAAAGTCAACAGTTTTCAAAAGTAATATAAGCTATTTTAAAATTTATTGTTGCATACAGTTGGGTAATGAATATCTTTGGCACTAAAATGAATAGTCTATACAATTCCTGAAGTTTTAGACCAATTAGAGTTTGTTCACGCTTTTCAAATACTAAGCATAAAAATCAAACAAGCTTTCACGAGATTACAGCAAAAGCTTTCAAAGTTGCATAGTTCTACTTTACTGAATTTGCCAGCAGGATTTATCCTGAGAATGTATTCATTCCTTCCTATGAGTGTAAGCATGGCAGTTGGCCCCAGACTCTGTACCTGCCTCAGAGCCTCTGCCAGTGCCAGTGCTGGCGCTTGCCCATCAGGGCTGTACTTGGGATGCCCATGGTGACTCAGGGAACTGCTGTGGCACCGACGTGAAGGCATTGCTCATTTTTGAGTGAGTTCAGAACGCCAAGCCTACATGGACATCTTTTTCCTGACATAAGGAATTTCTTCTTCTAGTCCCGTTTCTGACTGGAGCTGTGCACAGGTGTAGCTCTTCTCCCTTGAAACGAATCCTCTCCCTGTTTTTAATCACCAACTACACAGCAAATGTTTCCAGATTTTAATATTGACTTCAGATCTTTCTACTGTATTACAAATCCACTTGGATGTGTCTGGTGGGATCCCTAAAATTAACATGGTGAAAAAGGTTAACCACATCTTCTGCCCTTTTTCTGTCTTAACCAAGCCCATTCTACTTCTCCATAGTTTATTCTATGGAGCACAAACCTTATTTGGTGGGAAGATCCTGCCTTCTCTACTTCCATCTGCCCATGTTCACAGCCAACATATTGATAGTCTTTCTTTGTTCTGAAACCATTCTATTAATAATATGAAGCTCTAAGATTTCTAACTGGGTCATGTTCACAGCCTTTGGTTTTTGGTGCCTATCTATGGTTCTGCAAGGCCAGTTCCTGCCCTGGGAATACAGATACAAAGAATGGAAACTTCCTCCATGGCTCTCTACAATCCTAGGTGTAACAAGGCAGCCTTTAGTCTTCATGACCTCTCTAGGATCAATACCTATTGTTTCTTCTACTTATAAAATCTTTTCATAGATCCAGAGGATTCTAATTTTACATGAAGATTCTTTCTAAACAACTATTTTAATTGAAAGGTAAAATTGATGTCTTTATCATGTATGAAAAAATGTTTTGGATTATGTCAACTGTCTTAGGGTTTTACTGATGTGAACAGATACCATGTCCAAGGTAACTCTTTTAAGGACAACATTTAATTGGGGCTGGCTTACAAGTTCAGAGGTTCAATCCACTATTATCAAGGCAGGAACATGGCAACATCCAGACAGGCATGGTACAGGAGGAGCTGACAGTTCTACATCTTCATCTGAAGGATGCTAGCAGAATACTGACTTCCAGGCAGCTAGGATGAGGGTCTTAAAGCCCATACAGACAGTGACACACCTATTCTAACAAGGCCACACCTACTCCAACAGGGTCACAACGTCTAATAGTGCTGAGCATATACAAACCATAACATCAACATTGTGGCGTAATTAAATCTACTTAGAGTGTATCTTACTTCATATCTCCATCGTAGGGATGAAAATACTTACAATCTACGCCTTAGGGATTTGCAAGAACTGGACATGTCATCACCCAGTACAGTCACCACAGTATACAAGAAATCTGAGCTTCTCTAAGGAGCTTTCTTACTCTGTGTGATTTTATGCTAGCTACTCCATGGAGGGTCTCCCTGGCCATCTTTGATGGAGCCATATCCTACTCCCACGTGCTAGTAACAATATTCTTTATTCTACTTATTGGCGTCTAAATCTATTGCGGTTTCTTACTTTTGATTTAGTTTTTATTGTTCTCCCTCTCCGTTATATGAACCTCATTCAGTTTTTTCCTCCCCAACAAAACACATGCTCTGAAAGCAGCTCTGCACCCAGCCCCACGTGTAACTGTCCTTATCCTTACTTGTCCTGTACAAACATCCCTGTAGCTCGGAGACACTTCCTCTAGACAATTCAAGGCCCATGGATCCGAGATTCCAAGACAGGGCTCAGCACGGGAAATAGTTCTCTAACACTCTGCACCTTCAGGGGCTGGGCATGGATCTGAAAAGAAAGTGTCAGAGAATAAACTCTAGGAGGAGACAGGTCTGGCAGAATTAGCATCGGAAGGCATCCTGAACACTGTGCTGCCTGTGCCAGTGAGCTACCCCAGCATCCAACATGGGAAATGCAAAATAAGGCCTCCTCCCTTTTTTGTGTCTTACTTACGTGGGCAGGCCGAGTGGTCACTAGGAAAGGCAGGATTCTTTGTCGTGTAAGGAAACATAACAGTTGCTTATGTTTAATGATTTCTTTATGTGCTCAGCACTGTCCTAAGCATTTCATGCAGTCATCAGCGGTGGGGAAACTGAGGCATAGAGGTTGGGTAAATTGTTTGAGATCAGTCAAGAAGGCTGGTCTGAGCTTACACATTAACCAAAATATGTACATTTCTTGTACAGGGCAAGTATTCACTGTGCTATGTAAGACGATGTGATCTTGCTCACTTCAGAGGAAGATAGGAGGTGACCCACTTTCTGCCAGTTCCATAATGTCATGATGACACCCATTTCCAAATGACAAGCTAACAGGGGAGAAGTAAAAGAAATATATCTGATTATTATTTTATGGGATATCTTTTATGGGAGCCTCCAGACTGATTTATCCTTAAGTTCCATGATGAATGGATAGCTATGCATAACTGCAACTGGCAAACAGCCACTACCTGCTACTCCCTGCCTGTGCCTGGCTCTTATGATTTATCAGGCAAAGCACATCAGAGAATTTCTTTATAGTTAGTTCCAAGATGGAAGGGTGGAGGACCGCGGGGGCGGGGGGGAAGATTGTTATTTCTAGGCATGAAGATTGCTTTGAGAAGAAGAGGTTCTAGCTTCTATGATAACTCCTGGGGGAAGAGACTCTAGCTTCTATGGTTTGTCTTGGGAGAATGGATCACATTCTCCTGTGGGAAAGGCTGGACACAGACCTCCCTGCTGAAGACTCTGAGGTCCCTGCCCTCTGTGCGAGCCTTCTATTCTTTATGTTCAGGGGCTCATTTAATCATCTAAACCTTGTTAAGTGAAAGGAACAAACAGTACCCAGATGTTCAGAAGTTGACCCATGTTCATATAAAAGTGAGTGGTCTTCCTTCCCAGACATGCTTTGTTTATAAACTAAAACAGGTAGAAAGCAGTCAGAGTCAAGGGTCAGCAGGTGTGTGTGTGTGTGTGTGTGTGTGTGTGTGTGTGTGTGTCTGATAACCACCAAAGAATCATGCCCATAAAAACCGTCGATGGCAACTATAGAACAGTTTATCTGGTTAAATTAACACAAAGTGCTTAGCCACATATTAATTTAACCATTTATTTATATGCAGAGAAAATATTTAACAACTAGATAAAAACATTTGTGGAACAAGGATGTCTTTAAACAGTTTGAAGCAAATAGTGAATGCTGTCTGTGTAGAAATACTTCTGTGTAATTATCAAATAACAAAATAGCATGAACTTTAATTCATAGTTACATAGTTAGCTGGGAAAATTCCAGTCTGACCTCGAAGTTTTCCTTCCCACCAATCAAAATTTGAGTCGGTCTTTGATGTAACTATGATTCTGTCTCCTGCTTGAAAGTTCAAGTCCCCTGGCTGTTGTCCTTCAAAAGAGTATAATGCTGTCACTTCTATTGGCTGATTCAAACTGCCTAAAACAAGAAAATATAATCAAATTATAAATACTTCAGGAAAGAAGTTGAAGTACGGGTTGGTAAGATAGAAACTGGTCAGTTGGCGTTTGATTTTTGGCTCCCTGAAGGGTGTCAGAGCCCACACTATACAATCTGTGCAATGCTCACAATGTTAACCTTAGAATTCGCTCCTTCTGAAAGCTGGAGGACCCGAGATAAATAGCTAGGATCCACACGACAGAAGGAGAGAACTGACTCCTTCAAGCTGTCTTTTGGCCTCCACAAATGCTACATGTTGTGTACACTGTCTTACAATGGGAGCAGAGCCATGGGGTCACAGCAGGAAACATGAGAACAGAGCACAGCAGGGCCCAGCTAAGACAGGAAAAGCCAAAAGTCCCAGGTTCACCAGGAAAGACACAAAATATTTTCATCTACATGATAATATTTAAAATTTTGATTACCTGGTATCTATAAATATTATTTATATTTATACAAAATGGCTAATTCCTCAATTGTTTATAAATTCAGGAGCATACAATTTGATGACTTCAGTGACAAATTTAGAACATTACATTATCAGAGACCAAAACCATGTCATTTGTCACTAAATAATATTTACAATTAAACTTACTTAAAAAAATATTATAGAGTTATGAACAATTTCTCAGAGATTTTCATAACCTATCAAATTAACTGGAAATTATGTGACTGTAGGGTGCTTATGTGTAATTTTTAAGTAATAGCTTTTTACTTACCATTTTTCTCATGGTAGCTAGAAAGTTCAGGATATAGCTTATATTCATTTCTGTTACCTGTTAAAATAAAAATAAAATGGGAGGGGGAGACTTAAAAGCTTATTATTGTATATAAAACACACAAAACTATCAAATCCTGACCTTGTTAAAGGTTTACACTACTGGGCCAGGCTGTAAACTGAGAGATGCCTCAACTACTGTACCAAAGACTATGTACAAGGCCAAAGTATCTGAAGTGTCTGATACTAGCCTATGGTCTATGCACATCTCTTCTAGAAGCAACCAAAGAATACCTTAGCAAGAAAGGTTACAGCTCCACACAGGGATCTCTAAACATTCAGACTTCACATAGATGGGCCTCTGTATAGCTTCTAATAGATATCTGAAGTTCAGGGTGAATTTAAATACGTGTAAGGCATATGCTTGCAACATATTATGAATACCACAGAGAAGTGTAGCTCTTTTCACAGTAGAAGATATGACAGGAATCCACAATTTTTCAAAATCCAGAGAAAAAGTAACTATGGGATGCTTAGCACTTATTGATATATTTCCAACACATCTCCTATACCTAAGGCTCAGAGAACACTGTGGAAGAGGGAGTGGAAAGATTATAAGAGCCAGGAAACCAAGATGTATGCTGTGATATTGTGTCTTCTAGATAGGGCCAGAAAGGATACCACAAAATCTCAATATGTCTGCTTAAAAAGACCAGAAAAATGATAACACCAATAGAAATGCCAATGTGGATGAGGGAAATCACAGAGGCACCCACCTCTGAGGAGCTATAGACAATCAGTGGTTGCTGAGGGAGAATTAGCTTTCCACAGAGATAAGCAGCCTAAGTCAGACTCAGCAGGTTGCATTTCCATATATAACAATAATGATAAAAGATTAAGAGCCCATAAATTTGAAAGGGAATGGAGGGCAAAGGGGAAATAAAGCATAAAGTGGAGAGGTAATGTGACTATATTTTAATTAATTTGAAAGACAATAAAAAGAAAGGCAGTCCTAAGAGAAATTTATAGCTCTAAGTAAGTGTCTACATTAAAGTATCAGGAAAAATACAGTTGATGTAATGATACAACTTAAGAATTTGGAAAAGCAAGAATAAATTAAACCCAAATCTAATAGATGACAAGAAACATTAAAAACAGGAGCATAAGCTGGGCAGTAGTGGCCTATTCCTTTAATTCTAGCACTTGGCAGGCAGAGGCAGGCTGACCTTTGAGTTCAAGGCTAGCCTAGTCTACAAAGTGAGTTTCTGGACAGCTGAAGCTACATAGAGAAACAATGTCTTGAAAAATCCAAAGCCAAACCAAACCAAACCAACCAACAAATCAAATAAACAAAACCCCACAACCAGAACATAAATTAATGAAACAGAAACAAATAAAATAATACAAAGAATCAATAAATCTAAGAGCTGGTTTTTGAGAAGATAAACACCACTGAAAAAAACAATTAGTTAAAAGAAAGAGATAACTCAAATCAATAAATCAGAGATGAACAGAGAAATATTACAACAGATGTCAAAGAAATTCAGATTATATGGAAATACTTTAAAACTCCACAGTCTATTATGTTAGAAAAATTTAAAAATGTACAAATTTCTAGATTCATTAAAACCATCTAAATTAAACTAGGGAACGATCAACAGCCTAAACAAACATAACCAAAATGAAAAGCAGCCTGGCTTTAAAAAAAAGGCCTAGGTCAGATGGATTGACCGAAGAAGTCTACCAGATTTTCAAAGAAGATCTATAATCAATATTTCTTAAATTATTCAAAACAATAGAGACAGAAGAAACACTTTCAAACTCCTTCTACAAAGCACGTATTACTATAATATGAAAACTAAATAAAGACACAACAAAAAAGAAGATGATAGGCCAATATTCCTGATGAACATAGACACAAAAATCCTAAAAAAAAAATATTTGCAAAACAATTACAGGATTATATAAAAAAGGTCATCAAGAATATCAGGTTGACCTTACCCCTGAAATATAGAAATAGCTCAATATATTTAAGTAAATAAATTTAGTAAATCATATAAATGAACTAAAGACAAAAATTATATGACCATCTCTAAAATAAGACCTGACAAAACCCAGCACGCCTTCATAATAAAAGTCCTAAAAAATAGTAGGGCAGGAGGATGGTACATACCTGAACCTAATCAAGGTTATATATGACAAACCCATAGCCAACCTCCAAATGTAGAAAACTTGAAGCAACCTCATTAAAATTAGGACTGAACCAGGTTTGTCCACTATCCCCACTTCTTTTCAATATAGCACTTGGAACCTAGCTAGAGCAGTAAAACAAGAGAAGAAAATGAAAGGGATACAGATAGAAAAATAAGTTAATTATCCCTACTTACAGGTGATTTGATATTGCATGTTAAGAAATCCCCCAAATTCCACCAGAAAACTTCTAGAAATGATCGATACTTTTCAATGAAATGTTAAGATACAAAATCACCTAACAAAAATTAGTAGCCTTTCTAGATACTAGTAACAAACATCCTGACAGCGATCATGGAAACACTCCCATTAATGTCAGCCTCAGGGAAAAAAACAAAAGCAAAACCAAATAAAAGCCAAAACAACAACTAAAGAAACTCACCACCCAGTTCACTCCCCATCCCTAACCTCCCCCTACCCCCAAAAGAAAGAAAGAAAGAAAGAAAGAAAGAAAGAAAGAAAGAAAGAGAGAGAGAAAGAAAGAAAGAAAAGAAAAGAATATGGAGAGATGGTTGAGAGGTTAACAGTGCCAACTAGTCCAGAAGACCTGAGTTTCACTCCCAATTTGCACATGGCAGCTCACAACTGCCTGTTCACTCCACTTCCAGGAGTCTAACACCCCCTTCTGGTCTTGGGTACTGTCCACATGTGTCATACACATACATGCAGATAAAACATCAATACATACAAGACAGAATGAAACAATTAAAATAAACAAAATATCTAGGAATAAACCTAATCAAGAAGGTAAAAGACCTCCTACGATGAAAACTTTAGATTTCTAGAGAAAGAGATAGATGAACACGTCAGAAGCTGGAAAGATCTCTCTATATATTCACGGATTGGTAGAATTAATATTGAGAAAAAAATGACCATCTTACCAAAAGCAATTTACAGATTGCTTTTTATTCAATCCAATCAAGATCCATATTACATTCTTCATAGAAATTAGAAAGAAAAAAAAAGCTCCTAAATCATATAGAGCCACAAATACCCTGGAGAGCCAAAGCAATCCTGATCAGAAAGACTGGAAGAATAACCATACTAGGTTTCAAGCTATGGTCTAGAGATACAGAAATAAACACAGCATGGTACCAGCACAAGAACTGACATGAACATCAACTGAACTAAACAGAAGACCCAAATATGTGTATACATGATCATGGCTATATCATATTCGACAAAGATACCAAAAATACACACTGGAAAAAAGACAGCTTCTTCAACAAATATTGTGGTCAAAACTGGATGCCCACATTTGGAATTATGTGATTAGCCTCGTATCCACCACACTGCACAAAAAGGACTTGGAATGCATGTAAGACCTCAATGTGAAACCTGGAAAGCTGAAGCTGCCAGAAGAAAAGCAGGCAGAGCCTACAAGGTATATGCAAGGAAGGACTTGTTGACTAGGACTACACTTGCCCAGGAATTAAGGTCATCAGTTGACAACTATGATCTCATGAAACTAAAAGAGTATCTGTACAACAAAGTAACAATCAAGAGAAAGCCTAAAGGGTGGACAGAATATTAACTAAACATCCTACAGACAATATCTAGAATAAAAAGAGAACTCAAAAAATAAAAGAAAGAATAAAGATAACTAACTATCCAATTAAAAATGGGCTAAGGATCAGAAAAAAAGGTTCTTAAAAGAAGAAATATAAATAATGGTCAAGAAATATCTTTAGGTGTTCAACATTCCTAATAATCAGAAAAACATAAATTAAAACTATTTTGATATTTCATCTAACCCCAGGAAGAATAGCCAAGATCAAGAAAATAACCAGCAACAAACACTAGAGAGGATGTGGAGAAAGGGGACCCTCGTTCTGTTGGTAGAACTGCAAAATGATACAGCCACTATGCAAATCAGTGTGGAGACTTATCAAAAAAAGCTAAATGTAGATCTACCATATGACTCAGCCATTCTACTTTTTGTCATGTGCCCAGGAATAAGGGAATGCAGTGGGAGGAGAGGTCCTTGGCCCTGAGGGTGTTCAATGCCCCAGTGTAGGGGAATGCCAGGGTGGGAAGACGGGAGTGTGGGGGGGGGAGCACCCTCACAGAGGCAGGGGGAAGAGGAATAGGGTAGGGGGTTTCAGAAGGGGAGACCTAGAAAGGGGAAAACATTTGAAATGTAAATAAAGAAAATATAAAAACAAAACAAATAAAAAACAACATATGTAATGAAAAAATATTACACTGGATGAGGTAGCCCAAACCCAGAAAGACAAATGCCACATTTGTGAATCTTAAGATGTGAGTAAAGAACCTGGAGAGACCTGCTCTTAAACCACAAAGATGAAAAGGGACTATGGGGTCCAGGAGAAAGAGTTCTAGAGAGTGAAATAGGAGGGCATGGGTGCTATGAAGGGAGACATGGAAAAATGGGGTTGGGGAGAGAAGGCAATCCAGAAGGAGAGGATGGAGGAAGGTTAAATAACACTAAGGATGTTAATGATCCCTCCAAGAGTCAGAGACTCACTAAAACAAAACAAAACAAAACAAAACAAAACAAAACAAAACAACAACAACAAAACAACAAACCCAACACTAAGCATGGGGATCCAGGGGAATCCAAGAGGATCCAAAACATTACAGGCTATTTTGTCCTTTGCTGCCTCCTAGAGTTTTAAGCTAAGACACTGCTGCTGAAGACACCACACTTTGGACACAGGACTTGGAGGAATGGAGCCGGAGTAAACCTAATAGCCTCCTCTCTGAGGAATACTTCTGCAGTACTGGAAGGTTCTATGCAAGCTACCAAGGGAGAAAAGTAATCAAGGGAGAAAAGCAAGTCCTGCCTAACTGTAAAGTCTATAGACTAAAACTATGACCACCCTGGTAAGATGTGCCCAGTGCTGCCAACAGCAGCTCTTACAGCTAGTAGTCACTAACAACCATCTAATTGGACTTAATCTTGCTCAATAGGAGGGAACTCATGCCTGGTACTGGAAACCCAGTCAACTACTCATAGCCAGTGAGGTCACAGACCTCACAGAAGAAGCTACTATTTCTACTTTTCTAAACCAGTATAATTTTTTTTGTTACTATAATTTATTCATCACAATGCAAATCTAGTTTTTTATGCTTTCTTTTTTAAAATTGGATACTTTATTTATTTACATTTCAAATGTTACCCCTTTCCTGGTTTTCCCTCTGCAAACCCCCTATCTCATTCCCCATTACCCTGCTTCTATGAGGGTGCTCCCCCACCCACCTACACACTCCTGCCTCACTGCCCTAGCATTCCTCTACACTGAGGTATCGAGTCTTCATAGGACCAAGGGCCTCCTCTTCCATTGATGCAAGATAAGGCCCCTTCAGCTCCTTGAGTCCTTCCCCTAAGACTTCCATTGGGGTCCTTGTGTTCAGTCCTATGTTTGGCTGCGAGCATCCACATCTGTATCTGGTCAGGATCTGGCAGAGCCACTCAGAAGACAGCAGTAAACTGCATTACAAATACTTATCTTTATGTTCAGAGACAAGTATACTTCTTGTTAGTCATCAAAGCTGCTTTTTGTAGGAGATGGAAACCATTATAGATATAGCCACAATTGGTCAGAATGTAGACAAAGAGTGACTGTGGCTTACTCAATCCTAGGTCACATAGCTACAATACAATACAATACAATACAATACAATACAATACAATACAATA